CCTGCCGTGAGAATGTGCCCTAGCTGACTAACACTCGCTGCCATTGAGCAATAAAATCTCGGATGGACATGTGGTGTGTTTATTATTGGTCGTCTGGGTGGGCAATAACTCCCTTACAGGCACAAATAAACCGTATATATATATATCCCTAACTGTATCCCTCATTATGTACCATAAACCCACTCCCTGGCACTAATGCCTACCCCTCCCCCTAACCATAATCACATAATGCTCTTCTCTCGTGTACTGTAGTGTATGCTCCAACCTCTACTTTTAACATTGATTAAGTGAATTGGCCCCTGCTTCCCTACACACACCTCGCCAGCCTTTGCCTTTTCCAGCCCTTCACTCCTGCGCAGACCTGTCGTAGAGTGAAGTTGAAAGGCTGTGTACATAGTTTGAAATGCCAACTATGCAACATCTGTAATACACTGTCTTAAGTTACTGCCATAATAAGTCATAATACTGGGTCGTAAAATTGAAGGGATTTGGGGGAAAAAATTCGGTAATTCCCCTCTGAGTCTCCCCCCAGTCTTTTTTGCAACTTCTATTATTAGAGATATAGAATGTACGCTTCAGCATACTATAGCTGAGAGGGTCTATGTCCCCTGGGGTACTGCCGGAACGTACCCTGGGTACGGTGGGGTATACCGGAACGTACCCTGGTACTATCTAATATGCCGGACCGTACTTCGCCTACTTCACTAACGAGTCAAGGGAGTCGCCTACGCCTACTCCCTAACCCGAACCCGAACCCTAATCCTAACCCTAACCCTAATCCTAACCATATCAAATAGTGACCAGGGTACGTTCCGGTATACCAGACCTGACCGTACCCAGGGTACGTTCCGGCAGTACCCTGGGGGACATAGACCCTATGAGCCATACTATAGCGAGTTATAACTTTGGTATTTATTGTAAAGGCACACCGCAGACTTTCAGGGATGCATCGAATAGTTGTTTGTTGATTTTAAATTCTCTCGAACGTTGAAGCAATCTCAGCCAGCTTCTCAGCTGGCTGTTTTTATGTGTAACTGTAGGCACCCTTGTCACACCCGTGACCGATTAATACCATTGAAATATCTCCCCATACGCCTGGTTGCACAATTGTAATAAAATATAATCAATATGTCAAAAACCCTTCAGGGGAATGGATATTATAATGTCTGCCTAGGTGGCATATAATAGTAATACTCAACATGTGCACGCGTGTGTGTGTTGTAGAATCTTGAGGGGGTTGTGTGTCCAAAGTCCAGTCGTGGGTTACAGCGAACAGGGAGAGCCCAACCTTGTAATTATATTCCGCGTGTGTTTACCCTTAGAGCTAACAATGCACACACAATTACTGTGTGCTTGTCTTAGACTCGATACACACACGCCCACACCAAGCTGTGGCTAGGCAGGCAGCTTGCTTGGACTTTGATGCAATTTACACGTACAGTATATATTCTGGTATATATGCTGCAGGAACGGTTATGCATAAATGATAAAACCCATGTCCATAACTTGTGTGCTGTAAGGAGAAGCAGATGGCGTGGGAGAGACGCGAGAGAGAAGAGAGGGGAGAGAGGGAGGGAGAGAGAGGTAGATATAAAAGGGAGAAAGGAGGTGAAATAGGCGCGAGACAGAGGGACGAGCGTCGATGTGAGAGAGAGAGAAGAGAGAGGTAGGAAAGGCGGAGAGGTGGAGATAGGGGAGAGAGATGAGGAGCTGGTGAGAGAGAGAAGGGAGATGATGTAGAAAAGGCAAGGAGCGGGAGGGAGGCTGAGATAGGGGAGGAGAAGTAGAGAGAGGAGAAGAGGTAGAGAACAAGGGAGGGAGAGGGAGGAGATAGGGCCGAGAGAGAGAGCACTGAGAGAGAGAGAGCGGGGGTGGGGGGGCGGGGGGCGGGGGCGGGAGAGAGGGTAGAGAAAGGAGGCGAGCAGGGAGGGAGATAGGGGAAGAAGTCGAGAGAGAGGAGAAGAGAGAGAGAGGAGAGAGAGAGAGGAGAGAGCAGAGGAGAGAGAGAGAGAGAGGAGAGAGAGAGACAGAGGGGACGAGAGAGAGACGAGAGACGGGTGAGAGAGAGAAG